GACCGACTATTCCCACCTATTCACGGTGGTAATAACATGTACCACTTGACCACGATCGTCAGAAGAATTACTTTGGACTGCGACTGAGTGCATCCTATTTCAAAGGTGATTGTACTGTGGAACCCATCGCAGTGAAAAACTGCAATAAGATTAGGGCCTCTGAAAAAGCACCAAATGAATGATGGTCCAAAGTATTACCACAAGTAAGCGTTTAGGATTTGACCTATTTCAACCAAGCTCAAAGGATGATATTGGACCGAGAAAGAGCATCGGCCAGGACTCTGGGTCACATAGGCCCTGTTAGGCTCCCGGGATAGTCGTAGGTCGTGACACTCAGTGGTCTGGCTTGATGTCGCAGACTGTGGGGCTCATTCATCTACTCATTATTTTTAACTTCAGTGTAGGTGAATTCTCTATGTTTCTCGAAGTAGCTTTTGGCTCATTTAACCGCCGCTTCCTCTTGATTAGTGCCCCAGAGAAGCTTATTTCGAAAATACCATCCGTGTATACCAATGACCGTAGTAGGGTTCTTGCGCTTTTTCACGGAAATTCACCTTGGAAAACAGTGCTCGTCAAGGTTGCTCTCTCCCTTTTTTCCCATTTCACTCTTTAGAACTTAGATTGGTCGTATTTCTTAGCGTAGCACGTGATCTCTTAAAAATGTGGTATGAATGTCCGTTACCAACCGTCAAGCCGGAGCATGTCCTTATTTTTTAACCTGCAAAACGCAAACTTTTCCAAGGGAGGAAATAATCACTGCGAGCAACTTGGTTGCCCGCTATTCCAGCAGATGAAGAGCATGCTTAATCATCTAAATCCGCAGCTGATAAGTATCACGCTTGAAATCGCTTTGATTCCTTATCTCGCTCGAACACACACAGATCGAAAGCTGGTTCCTTCTGAATTTCGGAGCCACTTTTCATTTCATTTATACACTCACTTCTCCCCACTAAGGTCAGTACAAATAAAAGTACAAGTTGAGTGTTCTTTCCTAAAACCGAACGGTGACTTTTTCAGTGATATCCTATCATCCTTTCAAAAATCAATCAATTTGTTTTCAACAAACAAACAACTGTTCACCTTCCATCAAATACAACATGCACTAATGTCGCTCTCGACCTAACCCGTCATCCTCTCTTCCACTTTAACCTGCAGGGTGTTTTGTGCTTCGTTTGCTGCACGGATATCATATCCGACACAAAAAAATCATATACGAATGCGCCATCAAATCATCTGGGTCAGGCCGTCGTGGTTTCGGATACACTTCAATCCGATTCATCACATGATTTAACCTCCAGCAAATCGCGTCCGCTACGAGAGCTCAGCCCACAATCTTCTTATTCAGCCAGCGCACCTACTACTGACCCAATGAGTGGAAAACAGGACGATGACGGTTCATCCTCAGGCAACTTTTGGACTCATCTTCACCACTGCATGCACACGCGCGGTCAAGCAGTTCGACGTTCTCGACGCACCTTGCTAGAGACGTCCTCTGAAGACCGTCTTGTTAATCGTTATCCTCCCGTGGCTAACAGCGCTTCTCATGTTTCCCAAGACGACCCAGATATGGTCATTGTTCCACTGGATCGAGATCATGCATATGGTAAGTGTTTTCATTGTATCCTACTAGATCGGTCCTATAAGAACAATCCGGTTGTAAATTTCCCAAATG